CGTCGGATCTCAAAGTCCCGCCTTCCGTGGCGAATATCGGCTAGGCTCCGGCGGCCATTTTGAGTGTGGCAGCATCGCTTCTTGGCTCGTTTTCCCGTTCTGGGCGTCGCTTCGTGTTCGTGTCGCCGGGGAAGGGTGTCTTGGAGGACGGAGGGTCCATTTGGCGTGACTTCGGCAGGTTTCCGCCGGTGTTTGCTCGGTGAAAGCGAAGTCTGTCCCGGGAAAGGGCTCCCGGCGCCATCTTGAGTGTGGCAAAAAACCTCCTTGCCTGCCATGCTCTATTTCCTCCAATAGGCATTTGCAGTATTGCAAGGAAGCCTATCTATCTATCTATCTATCTATCTATCTATCTATCTATCTATCTATCTATCTATCTATCTATCTATCTCTATCTATCTATCTATCTATCTAATCCAATATTTTAATAAATATATAATTATACATTAAATATAATATATTGTATATTAAATATAATATATTGTATATTAAATATAATCTAATATTTTAATAAATATAGATATTAAATATAATATAATATATTAAATATATTATATATATTAATATATATTAAATATATCTTACATATTAAAAATATGTTTGATACGTATATATATATATAATATATGTATATATTGTATTTTGTACATATTTAATATGTATTATAATATATATTATAAATAACATATACTATATAAAATACATAATTCTGTATATTATATACATATAAAATGTGTAGAATTAAATATATATAATTGTTATATATTTAATATATATACTTTTCAAACAGAAGCAATTACTATTAGTCAGAATAATATTAATACTATTATAATAATAGTATTAATTATAATAAATATAATATTACATAATTTATTACAATTACTATTAGTCAGAATAATATTAATAATATAATAGTATTTATAATAAATTGTTATTACATTATATAATATTGCAAAATTTATTACAATTACTATTAGTCAGAATAATATTAATACTATTATTATAATAATAGTATTAATTATAATAAATTGTTACTACATTATATAATATTACATAATTTATTACAATTACTATTAGAATAATATTAATAATTTTATAATAATATTAGTATTTATAACAAATTGTTATTATATAATATTGCAAAATTTATTACAATTACTATTAGTCAGAATAATATTAATAATATTATAATAATAGTAATAATTCTAACAAACTGTAATAATTGTAACACACTGAAAGCCAAAACCAAGGTTGCAACAACATCTGTTATAGAACTTCAGTATGCTGATATATATATACATAAATAATATATTTATTATATACGTAATTTTAATATATAATTTTAAGATGGAACATATTAAATATAATACAGATATTTATTAGACAATATAATAATTCTAATCTATATAATGTAATATATAACATATTAAATAAATATGTTAAATATTATATTTATATAAATAAATAAATATTAAATATTATTTTTATATATATACATAAATAATATATTTATTATATACGTAATTTTAATATATAATTTTAAGATGGAACATATTAAATATAATACTAATATTATTTATTAGAAATAATATAATAATTCCAATCTATATAATGTAATATATAACATATTAAATAAATACATTAAATATTATAGATGTAATGTATAAAATACATAATACTGTGTATTTTATATATATATATATAGGCATATAATATGTAGTGTAGAGTATATATGTATATTTATTATATATATAATTTTAATCTGATATATAGATAGATATAAGATATATATGTGCATATATGTATGTATTATATAGATATATATATATGTATGCATATATGCATGTATTATATATATGTGTGTGTATGTGTGTGTGTGTATTATATAGAAAAGCTGGACAAAACCCAACATTGCTCGAATTTCCCTGCTTTTTCCCGCCCAAAACCCAGCCAGCATCTGAGAATTTCCCGCCCCCTTTTTATTTCATTTCTATTTTTTGCAAAGTGGAGCTTTGGAGTTCGCGTGCAAAGCGGCTGTTTTTTGTTTTGCTTTACACACACAAAAAAGGTGGTGAAATCTTCCCCGCCATGACAACCACAGTGTCTATGGCAGCGAAGACAAATGATCCCCCGGCTTGCAAAATACACGCAAGTCCCCAAACACGCAAAACGGCGCGTTCACACGTGCAAGATGCGTGCAACCGCTTCCCCGCGGCCGCAGGGCGGCGCGCGTGGGTTGTCCGCGTCCCCTTTCCCGGAAAGGAAGCACGCAAAGGGAGGTTGCTGTGACCGGCGTTTGTCCCGCGTCGAAACCGCGTTAGACACGTGTATGCTCCCTTTTAGCATCCCATGGCACTCAATGCAAAGCTCTTGACTCTTTTTGCAACTCAACGGGGAGTGCAAATGCCCCCTTTTGCGACCCCCCCATAGAATATATTTTATTTATTGTAGATTGCCCCCCCCCCAATGCCCCCCTTTTGCAACCTCCCTTATCCCCCCAATGCCCAGGAATGGGGGTGTGCCCCTTTTTTTTGCAACCCCAATTGACAACTGGGTAGGAATATATATTTTATTAATTATATATTTGCCCCCTTTAGCGACCCCCATATAATTTATTTTATTATAGATTTGCCCCCCCCCCAATGCCCCCCTTTTGCAACCTCCCTTATCCCCCCAATGCCCAGGAATGGGGGTGTGCCCCTTTTTTTTGCAACCCCAATTGACAACTGGGTAGGAATATATATTTTATTAATTATATATTTGCCCCCTTTAGCGACCCCCATATAATTTATTTTATTATAGATTTGCCCCCCCCAATGCCCCCCTTTTGCAACCTCCCATATCCCACAATGCCCAGGAATGGGGGTGTGCCCCTTTTTTGCAACCCTAATCAACATCTGGGTAGGAATAGGGTGTATACAAATGCCCCCTTTTCCTGGGTATTGGGGGAATATGGGAAAAGGGGGCATGCACTCATCCTTTGCCCATTGGGGTGCTTATGGGGGGTTGCAATAGAGTGCATAGGTTGCAAAAGGGGGCATATGTACACACCCCATGCCTTAAGCGGGGTTGCAAAAGGGGGCATATGCACACACCCCCATTCCTACCCAGATGTTGATTGGGGTTGCAAAAAAAGGGGCACACCCCTCATTCCTGGGCATTGGGGAAAATGGGAGGTTGCAAAAAGGGGCATTGGGGGCAAATATATAATAAATAAAATAAATTATATTATATATTCCTACCCAGTTGTTACTTGGGGTTGCAAAAAAGTGGCACACCCCCACATTCCTGGGCATTGGGGGATATGGGAGGTTGCAAAAGGGGGCACGCACTCATCCCTTTCCCATTGGGGTGCTTATGGGGGGTTGCAATAGAGTGCATAGGTTGCAAAAGGGGACATATGCACACACCCTAATTCTACCCAGATGCTGATTGGGGTTGCAACCTCCCATTTGCCCCAATACCCACGAATGAGGAGTGTGCCACTTTTTTTGCAACCCCAATTGACATCTGGGTAGAATTAGGGTGTGTGCATATGCCCCCTTTTGCAACCCCGCTTAAGGCATGGGTGTGTGTGCATATGCCCCCTTTTGCAACCTATGCACTGTATTGCAACCCCCCATAAACACCCCAATGGGAAAAGGATAAGTGCATGCCACCTTTTGCAACCTCCCATATCCCCCAATGCCCAGGAATGGGGGGGGGGTGCCCCTTTTTTTGCAACCCCAATCAACGTCTGGGTAGAATTAGGGTGTGTGCATATGCCCCCTTTTGCAACCCCGCTTAAGGAATGGGGTGTGGGCATATGCCCCCTTTTGCAACCCCGCTTAAGGAATGGGGTGTGGGTATATACCCCCTTTTTGCAACTCCGCTTAAGCCATGGGGTGTGGGCGTATGCCCCCTTTTGCAACCTATGCCCTGTATTGCAACCCCCCATAAACACCCCAATGGGAAAAGGATGAATGCATACCCCCTTTTGCAACCTCCCAATATTTGCCCCTAATTCCCCCTTTTGCAACCTCCCATATCCCCCAATGCCCAGGAATGGGGGGGGGGGAGTGTGCCCCTTTTTTTGCAACCCCAATCAACATCTGGGTAGAAACAGGATGTGTGCATATGCCCCCTTTTTGCAACCCCGCTTAAGGAATGGGGTGTGGGCATATGCCCCCTTTTTGCAACCCCACATAAGGAATGGGGTGTGGGCATATGCCCCCTTTTGCAACCCCGCTTAAGGAATCGGGTGTGGGCATATGCCCCCTTTTTGCAACCCCGCTTAAGGAATGGGGTGTGTGCATATGCCCCCTTTTGCATCCTATGCCCTGTATTGCAACCCCCCATAAACACCCCAATGGGCAAAGGATGAGTGCATGCCCCCTTTTGCAACCTCTCATATCCCCCAATGCCCAGGAATGGGGGGGGGGTTGCCCCTTTTTTGCGACCCCAATCCACAACTGGGTAGGAATAGGGTGTGTGCATATGCCCCCTTTTGCAACCTTTGCACTCTATTGCAACCCCCCATAAGCAGCCCAATGGGCAAAGGATGAGTGCCTGCCCCCTTTTGCAACCTCCCATTTCCCCCAACGAGGAGTGCAGGGCATGCCCCTCTAAACGAACCCCAGATAGATATACCCCGCAATGCGAAGGAGGAGGAAACTATGCCTGTTGTTTGTGTGTCTTGCAAAATAAATAAATAAATAAATAAAAGGCCCTCCTTCCCTCCCTCCCTCCTTTTTTCCTCCCCCTCCCCCCTTTTCCCTCCCTTTGGCTGAGCAAAGGGAGGGGAATGGAAGGAGGGAGGAAATAAGAGAAGAGAGGAGGAGGAGGAAGAGGAGGAGGGGAAAAAAAAAAAAGCAAGCCTCTTTGCTGCCTGTACCACTTTAAGCAGCCCTTGCCCATTGTTCGCGCCTTAGCCAATCAGCGCGTTTGGAACTGCCCGGGACGGCCAATCAGGGGCGAGCGGGGCTGCCCTCGCGCCGCCCACTCTTCTATATTAAAGGCCCGGGCGCCGCGTGAGCCTTCCACTGGCTCTTTCCTAAAGCCATCTTTGCATTGTTCCTGCTGTTGCTCCTCTTGCAAGAAGAAGAAGGGAAAAATATATATACTTAAATAACTAAAATACTTTATATTATTATAATTATTATTGCAATCTTGGAGTTTGGATCTGTTTGACCTTTCTGCTGCTGCTGCTGGTGTGTTGTGTTTTGGTTTTTTTGCAAAGAGGAAAAGCAAGGACTATATATTTTTGAGTTCTTTTCTCCCTCCATCTCTCTCTCTCGCCTCCCACTCGCGATGTCAGACACAGCCGTGGACACCAGCTCTGAGATCTCCACCAAGGTAAGGAAGGTGGGAAATATTATTATTATTTATTATTGTCCATCCTTTTGCCTTTCTTTGCCTTCCCCCCCGAGGACCGTCTTGCCTTCTTTCCGCCTCTTTCCTTTGTTTGCAGCGCTTCTTGCTTTGCAAAGGGACGCCGGGCTCCTGTTGCCTCCAGTCTTTGGATAGAATAATAATTATAATATATATAATAATATAATAATAAAATGTAAATAAACACTTCGAAGGGACGGTTGGGTGCAATTGCATTGCAGCAAGTGGGACTTTCTTACCCTCGTGTTTCTGTTGCCTCCAGTCTTTGGAAGGGAAAATAATAATATAATATTTAAGAATATAATAAAATGTAAATAAACCCTTTCTTCGAAGGGGCGGTCGGATACTTTTGCATTGCAGTTAGTAGGACTTTATTTCCCTCCTTTTTTTGCTTTCCCATGAATACTATTAATACAAAATATATAATAATAATATAATAAAATGTAAATAAACCCTTTCTTCGAAGGGGCGGTCGACTGCTTTTGCATTGCAGTTAGTAGGACTTTCCCTCGTGGTCCTGTTGCCTCTAATCTTTGGAAGAGAATACAATAAAATAATATTTAATAATAATAAAATAAAATGTAAATAAACCTCTCCTTCGAAGGGGCGGTCGGGTACTTTTGTATTGCAGCAAGTAGGACTTTCTATCCTTCCTTTCTTTGCTTTCCCATGAATGCCAGTAGTACAAAAGTATATTATAATATTTTTATAAAATGTAAATAAACCTCTCCTTCGAAGGGGCGGTCGGGTACTTTTGCACTGCAGCAAGTAGGACTTTGTTTCCCTCCTTTTTTTGCTTTGCCATGAGTTCCACTTGCTTTGCAAAAAACCCCCGGGCGGTTTATGGAGGGGGAAAAAAGAGAAGCCGGTTTCGCGGGGTTTAGCAAACTTCCGACGGCTTTGCTTCTTTTCCAAAGAGAAAATTACAGAGTTAGATGCAATCCAAGGTGTATTCCTGGAGTATGACCCCCTTCTCTCCCCTTGAATCCGGATCCCAAAGTGGAGCGACTCCTTTGTGATGCCTTCCGACGGTCTCCGGATCCTTTAATCCGGTTTTTTTCTCCCTTAATTGGATGGAAATAACTTTACAACGACCCACAAATGGGACCAAGACTGAAGTGGGGTTTGCTCTTTGAACAGGAAGCAAAAGAAACCCCCCTTTCTGAAAATGTTTTCCTGGGTTTTGCACCGTCGGGGAATCGGGGGGGGGGGGTCTTCCTTAATTCTCCCCTATTCCCAACCTTCTTTCCTTCCCCATATTGTAGAGGAAGAGGTTTATTTATGTCTTCCCCCCTCCCTCCAAAAGAAAACAATAGACGTTGGTTTCACCTTCGACGGGGAGGTCTGTTTTTGAACTGAGATGGCCCTTATCCCCCCCCCCCTCCCGTTTTGAGAGAAAAAAAGTAACTTGGGAAAGAAAGGGGACAAACTTAGAAGGGTCTGGACCCATTTGCCTCGAAGGGGAGGGCAAAGGAAAGAGAAGGAAGGGAAGGGAGGGAGGGAGGTTGTTTCCTTGCTGAAAATCAAAGGCTGTTTTCCTCCTCTTTGGAACCGGTTTGCAATGTAGACTAACCCCCCTCCCCTTTGAATCTTCCCTTGTAACCAAATGTTGGAGACCCCCCCCCCCCCATTTCCAATTACCCTTGGGATTGCAATGATTGCATTCACCCTCGACGGGGACACAAACCAATGCTATACATACATTACATACTCCTTTGCTCCAATCCTAATCATCCTACACACTTCCCCATAAATTTAAGTCTCTTTCAACCCTCCCCAAAAATGATTGGCATCCTCGACGGGGCGGGCCCAAGGTCAAACAACCTGAAAAAGAAGGGTATATTTGAGTAGCTGTCCCTTTAAGAGGCTGGTTGCCCCCCCCCCTTTTCCCTCCTACCATCATCTCTATGCCTTTTCTCTCTCTTCCCCCCCCCCCTTCTACTAATTCAGATTAAGGCTTTTGAAGTGTAATTCGGATTAAGGACATGCGCCTTCCCCTCCCCTTTAATCCGACTCATTGCATCCAAGGGTGTCCATTATTATTTCGATTACTATTATTATTATATTTATTTATTGGGGAGGGAAAGGGTCACAGAGAGGGCAGGTCACTATTATTTATTTTTTATTATATTTTTGGGGGGGGGAAAGGGGGTCACAGAGAGGGCAGGTCACAACCTTGGAGAATCCGGATGTAGGAAAATTAATTTTTTTTTGAAGCAGGAAATACTGAGCCCCCCATTGGCCCTTTTATTATAATAATAATAATAATAATAATAATAATAATAATAATAATAATTTATTATTATTATTATTATTATTATTATTATTATTGATCTAGCAAAATCTCAAAAAAGAGCCTCCCCCCAATATTACAACTTTTGCCTCTGCTTTATGGAAGTAAATAAATGTAAGTATGTCCCCAATTTTATTTATTTATATTTTTTATAATAATAATAATAATAATAATAATAATAATAATAATAATAATAATTATTATTATTGATCTAACAAACCCCCCCCAAAAGAGCCCCCCCCCAATATTACAACTTTTGCCTGCTTTATGGAAGTAAATAAATGTATGTCCCCAATTTTATTTATTTATATATATATTAATTTATATTCTGCTTTATCCCAACATCCGGAGACTCAAAGCAGGTTACAAATCAAAAACCTTACAATTTAAAGTAGACAATGATAAAAGTATATAATTTTATAGTATTTTAGTAATATTAAATAATATTATTTAGTAATAAAATTATTTTAAATATTACAATTATTTAATATTTAGTAATACTTATTTAATAATATTATTTAATATTATTATTAGATTACATTACGAAATTATACATTTTATTGTATTAATATGTAGTTTTAAGTTATATCATAATATTATATTTAATATAATAGGAATATTTAATACAATGCTATATTTCAATATTGTATATTAGTGTTATATTACATTATATCATATATCAGTAGTATTATATTTAATATATTAATTCATATTAATATGTATTACGTTATATATATTATCAATATTATATTTAATATGTTACAATATTATATATTACATTGTATTACATTAGTATTATATTTAATCTATCATTTTACAATATTTTATAGTATATTATATTAGTATAAATACAATTACATTTTGTTAGTATATTATATAAATAATTATAATATATATATAAATTATATTATTTATATATAATATAATATATAATATATATTATAAATTATAAATATATATAAATATAAAATATTATTACATTATATATATTATCAATATATTTGTTATAATATTATATATTACATTGTACTATATTATTAGTATTATAATTAATATATCACAATTGTCTTTTATAGTATATTGTATTATTATTAATACAGTTATATTATGAACTCTTTTAGAAACTGATATATGAATGGGCTATGCTGATAAATTGAAATATTTAACTCTGAAAGCTGCTATTTAATTTAAAGTAGATAATATAAATGGCTCCTAAAGGTATTAAGTATAATTAATTACTTCCTGTACTAGGTGGAGATATTTCATGTAGGTTGGCTTAAGTATTATATTTAATATATTAATTCATATTAATATGTATTACGTTATATATATTATCAATATTATATTTAATATGTTACAATATTATATATTACATTGTATTACATTAGTATTATATTTAATCTATCATTTTACAATATTTTATAGTATATTATATTAGTATAAATACAATTACATTTTGTTAGTATATTATATAAATAAATTATTAATTATATTATTAATATGTATTACGTTATATATATTATCAATATTATATTTAATATGTTACAATATTATATATTACATTGTATTACATTAGTATTATATTTAATCTATCATTTTACAATATTTTATAGTATATTATATTAGTATAAATACAATTACATTTTGTTAGTATATTAAATAAATTATAAAGTATATTATAAATTATATTATTTATATATAATATAAATATATAATATAAATATGTATATATAAATATTCTAAATTATAAAGTATATTAAATAAATAAAAAAGAAGAAAGTATATTATATATTAGTATTATATTTAATATATTATTACAATATTAGTATTATATTTAATATATTACAATATTATATTGTATTACTATGTTGTGTTGCATTATAAAACTAATATTATATTTATATATTAGTATTACATGTCACATATAATACACAATTATTACATATTATATTGTATTATATTATTATAACAATATAATATTCTAAATTATAAAGTATATTAAATAAATAAAAATAAAAAAGTATATTCTATATTAGTATTATATACAATTAGTATTGCATGTCACATATAATACACAATTTATTACATATTATATTGTATTATATTATATATACAGACACATATACATATTACAATGCAAAAGTCTTTTAGAGACTTTTGGAGGGGAAAGTTATAATTAAAAATTGTGATAAAAGTGTATCTTAATCTGGATTTCCCCCACTAATCAATTCCCAATGCATTTCAATATAATCAATTCCCAATCTATTTCCTAATACATATAGCGCCCCCTTTCTTTAGAGCGCTGGAGTTGCAGTAAACAGCGCCCCACCACGTGCTGCGGCTCTGTTCTCGCTTTTCCATCTCTGCCGCGCGGGGCGTCTTGGGAATCGCAGTTCGCGCCCTCTGTTGGCGCAATCCCTTTGGTAGGCGCTTTACCTTCCTTAGAACTACGCGTCCCGGCGTGCCCCGCAGTCTCGGCGGCGGCTGGCCAATCGGAGCCGCGCTCGCTCTGGCGCGCTCGTTTGAATTGGCCCACAGCGCATGGCGGCATCCGGATAGCGCTCCTTGCGCGCGGGCGCCCCCTACAGGCTCATTTTTGTCCTTTTGAAAAAAATACATATGTAACAAAACACAAACAGGCTTTAATTAGAAGGGAGCTTGGATAATTAAAGGGTTTTAT